TATATATATATATATATATATATATATATATATATATATATATATATATACACGATATAACACGACTTGTCAGCACGATAACGTTTACAATTTCTAACCGACTCTTCTCAAACACAACATGCTTTATCAATCGATAAAGACCAAGGTTAAGTTCGAAAATAAGTTTAATCGGATGAATAGTTTGGAAATGACAGGATTTTGATATTTTGAAAATCGTAAAAATTGATGTTTTTACCACTTCAACTTGGTGTAATTACTGAGCTAGACAAGATATTGAAATTCGGTAAATTGCATCGTAAAGCTCTTTTATTAAGCTTCAATTATCATTCCTTGGAAGTGGTAATAGCCTCAATATTACGCCTCGATTCTCAATTTTTTGTCTCAAAAAAAAACTTCAACTAAGACAGTATTTAACCCCGCTATTCCCATTTTGTGACGACTTTCCTTCCGATTTTTTTTTTTCGATTGAAAATAACAAAATTAGGACGACGGTTGACCCTAAAGGCCATCCCTGCAACTTCCCGCTCATTTTGTACTTAAGCGCTCAAAATTACACATTACATTTTTGAGCTCTACGAGCTTAAAAATATGATTTTTGTGTCATTTTGAGCTCTTCGAGCTCAAAACTCTAATAGCAGTTTAATAAAACACAATTTTTTGCATGTTCAAACCACAATAACTTTTGAATGAATAAACCGATTTTTACGCGGTTGGCGGCATTCCACGCAGTTTTTAAATCCCCATGGAGAATCTTTAAGTTTAAATCGATCGAGCAAGGAATTTCGAAGTAATTCCGAAAAAACACTTTTTTTAGTTTTCTTTCGACAACGATAACTCACGAACGAATCAACCGATTTTGATCGGGTTTGCGGTGATCGACGTGGTTTTTTGATCTTAACAGCTGATTAGATTTTGGAATTGATCGGTCGAGCTATTTAAAAGTAATCCAAAAAAACCAAAATTCCAAAAATTTTTTTTTTGTAGTTTTTTTAAGATTTCTCAAAATCTACTGGTTCGAATCGGTCCTAATGGTATTCAAAATCTAAGTTTAGTCAAGATCTTTCGAATGGCGTCAACTGCGATGAAATCGGTCAAGCCGTTCAAAAGTTATAAGAGGGTCGCATACACACACACACACACACACACACACACACACACACACACACACACACACACACACACACGGGCGAGAAGAGATACTGCTACCGGGCGCGTCTCCCCGAGCGGATGGGAGAACGCTCGCTGTCCTTGGATGACACTTGGATAATCTCTTAGTTGATGAGGTACAGCTGGTAGGAGCCAAGCAAAATAACCAAACAAAATACGCTCCCGTCGACCAAACTCCCCTTTAATGGGTTGGTCACACTAACTGACCTAACAAGACGAGGGTAGCGTTGTTCGCGTCCGTAGATACTGCTTTAACACCCTACACGTGCTCTCCGGGTAGTGCTAAATGAACAACAACAACAACAATATGGAAATGTCAGAAAACATTGAAACATTGTCTACAGTACAGAGGAGGGATACCTCAGTGCCGGCGAGGGAAGACGTGCAAACGGGCCTGAACTCGTCGTTATCAAGCGACCGTTACGACAGCAGAGTGGACCCCATGGCCCTGCTGTCTGGAAATACTACAGGGAGTACGCAAACAGCCCAGATGGAAGAGAACGGACAGCTGAACAACGGTCCTTCAAAAACTGGAGGACCTTTTGCTCCTGTCACAAACCAAACCTACCGAGGAAGAATAAACTCTCTACCGACTGTCACCAGCCAACAGTCACCAATGGAGAGACTCGGCAGCAACATTGAAGAGCTAGTCGACTTCATAAAAGACAAGAAAAATGTCCATCATGAGATCAGAAAAATGATTACGTCTCTTGGTACGGCATATAGGCTTGCCAACAAACCACCAACGACGACAGCGTCAACGACTCAAACATCTCCGAGTCTGAGAAAAAAACCACAG